CGTTTAAACCTCCCAGGTAGGCGGACGATGTGGGCGTAAAGGGGAGATTTTTAAATATTATGGAAAGTACACGTCAAACGTTAGCGATTCGAAGATCAAAAAACTACACATATTTAATATTTTTTTTGGTATTTTATAGATAGTGTAAGATAAGATATCGAAAAGAAATATGCACTTTCCGTGATAACAAAAATTACAATTATCACAGTAACTACATTCATATTTAATCAATGGATTATAAATATATATATATATAAGTTCTAAAACAGTAATATTAGATTCCTATCGATCATTAATATTATATGCGGCCAATAAAAATTAATATATATTTAATTGTTATCTTTTTCTTCTTTCTTTGCAATATATATACATTTTGAATATTACGTGCAATTCACACAAATATTAAAATTAATTTAAATGTATAGTGTAAAAAATAAGTTAGTCAATGAAGAACACCATAAACATGCATAATTAATTAAGTTATTAAACTATCATATTATTAGTTACTTTTGTAATACAGTGATAAAAAACAAATAGTTATGGACACGATATATATTTTGTATAAATGAAAAAAAAAATAATAATAAATAATATTATTATAATAATATATAATAAATAATAAGATAATATATGATATAATATAAGATAATAAATTCAATTCACAAATAAATTAAAAAACACTAATGAAATGTCGTAAAATAGCATCAGGTTATCAGGTATAAATAAAAAAAATAAAAAAATAAAAATCTATTACAGTAGTAAGTGAATCTACAATAATGACAATTGTATCTGTGAGATGAAAAACTACAAATCTAAAATAACAAAAAATTAATGTTTATTAAATTGTTGTTTGACATTAGTTACAAATTATCCACAAAAATAATTTGCATCCAGAGAACCACGTGGAGGTTGTCAAACTTTCTCTCCATTGATTAATATATATATAATCAATCTAAACAAATAATCGAAAAGTTAAGTGTAACGGATCACCGCGAAGGTCCGACATGGATCACATAAATCCGACATGGTATGGTAAACTATAGTGTTTAAGAACACTAACATGTAATAAATATTGTTGTCTTTCAACAACAAAAAAGTATCTCTAATAAAAACTTTTTTTAAACAAAGTAAATTATTTTATCAGAAATATTTTCTTCTGTATACATTTTTACCATAACCAATAATTATATTTGAATATAAGCACCAACTCATGTTGCTTAGAGAACTTCTCTGTAGACAATGTTTTTGGTGACAAATCTACCACGATCGTCACCACACATACCAATTTTAATTGATTGCGAGTCTCTCACGCGTGAAAACGCTACGTACAGTTGTCCGTGCGTGAACACCGGTGAAGGTAGAAGCAATCCAACTTTATCAAAAGATTGACCCTGTGACTTGTTAATGGTCATCGCAAAAGACAGCCGTACGGGGAACTGTACTCGTCGCATTATGACTGGCAGGTCATCTTCTCCACTTGACGTGAGCGGTATTGCAGGTATGACTATGTCTTCCTGTGCATTACCAGACAACATCCTCGCTTTAAAGTTGTATCGTCGCAGTTCAGTGACGACCAACCTCGTGCCGTTGCAAAGTCGCCTCTGTGAATCTAGATTTCTCAGCAACATGACGATCGAACCGACTTTCAGAGTCAAGTTGTACGGTGGCAATCCATCCGGTTCTAGAGTGTTGAGGAATTCTGTAGAATAATTGGCCACTTCGTCGGGGTCGTCGACCATCACAGTGTCGATGGCAGTGTAGCTCCTGTGTGCACCGTTGATGCGTTGAAGCACCGTGCGATTGACTTATCTGCATTCATCGTTCCTAGGACATCAAATTATTTTCCGAGCAAACTTGTCGACATTAGCCAACGACATTTGCTGCGGAAAAACAAAATTAATTTAATCAGCAACATCACATACCATATCTCGCGGTATTTCAACGGTGTCCGGAACACCGTCGACCGTTGGCAACTGACCGCTCCCTAGCTGAAGCAACCAATTCGCAAAATTCACGTCGTTGTCGGCTCGCATGTTTCGTGTCAGATTGAACTGTTCCAATTCGTTCCACAGAGAGTTATACTTGATCGACGACCTGACAATGTCGCTCCTCGTTCCTCTGCGTACAACCGGTAATATCTGTCTGAAGTCGCCGGCGAACAGGACTGGTTTACCGCCAAACGGTAACTCCGATCCCTTGACGTCCTTGAGCAACCGATTGACCACCGTGAGTTGTAGTCCCGGAGACATAGGCGCTTCGTCCCAGACGATGAGTGCTGCGTCGCGTATCCTCTGAGCGCGTGACGACTGCATGGTGATGGACGACGTCGAATCGTCCGTGAGCGTGCCGAACGGCAATCCGAACGTCGAGTGCACAGTCATGCCGCCGTCAATGAGCGACGCTGCGATTCCTGTGAATGCCACGGACAACACGGAACGCCCTTGGCTGCGAAGCGACCATATCAGGCATCCGTAAAACGTCGTTTTCCCAGTTCCTCCAGGTCCGTCGACGTAGAAAAGTTTTGAGACGTTTCTGTTGTCGTCTACGGCCGCCATCACACGTTCAAACACTGTTCGTTGTTCGTCGTTTAAGTTGTCTAATTGTTGAGCCCAGCGTATAGCCGCGTCTATTTGACCAAACATGCCGTCATCCGGATCCTCTTCCAACAGTGCGACGTCCGGCAGAGGCAAACCGTAGTCCGTGAGTGATTTCCCGTGACCCCGAAGTAATCGATCGATAGCGTCTAGACATGCCGCCCTCGCGCGGTCTACGTCACGCACCCGTTGATTGAAGTCCTCCATCATGTGTGCTTCGTGAGTTTGGTACAACGCCAACGGGTTTGCGGTTTCACAAAACAATAGCATCGTAACGAACAGGTAACGAAGCTGAGATGGAGGGTCCAACGTTGCCGATTCAGCCATGCATGCCAGCAAAGCTCTGTCGTCTTCCAACAGTCCCATCGCGACTGCTGCAGCCGCGTAGGTTGGATGCTGCACTCCGTCTACTGTCCTCACATCACGGTATGACTGCGGGCCTCTCTTGTGTAGAAGTAGTAGTCGCAAGTGAAAACGTTCTCGATCAAGTGGGTTGACGACGTACATTCGAGCCAGCGTCTCGTACGTCATCTGTATTCGCCGTCGTAACCATGTTCTTCGCGTTGCGTTCCAAGTGTAATGTATCGGTATCTCTTGGTACAGGTACTGTCTGGCCTCGACGTCTGTCGCGTTAAGCGCAAAGAAGGCCGTGAGTTTTGTTTGAGCTAGAGCAGCATTTTGTGCCCTTTCCAGTGCCTGATTTGGGGCAAAGTACACGTTGTGATAATCTTCTAAGTGTACTGGAAGTCTGACGATCGTATGACTCTTGTTATGCATTTCATACGAAAACAACCTCCAAACCGCTTCTGGTGGACTGACGTACCGTGAATTTATGTAACTGAAATCAACATGTATTCACAATATATTTTATGATTGAAAATTATAAAAAAAAGGTTATTTGTTAAATTCAAGTCAAAATAAATAGAACATAATGTGTGTTGTTTATAAATCTAAAAAAAAAAATACTAAAATAAAATAACTATACAGTATATATATGGATGTATATGACATGGTGTACAATGTTATTAATTTAGCAATAAATATTGTATGTAGTGGTGTTCTTTATTAAGATTATATTATTTCAAAGTGATGTACAATATTAATGCCCTATAATATCTCCTTATACATTTTGTAAAAGAAAAAAAGAGATTAATACATAATAAAATATGACTTAAGAAATTTAATTAAGATTTATTTTAAACACATGTGAAAATTTAATAGAAAAAAAGTAATGTGTATTGTTGTGCATTCTTATAATACAACTTATAATAAATTTTACAATATAATCCATCCACATAATATAAGCTGTAATGTACAGTATGAATCGTTAGGTGTTTGTGCTCGATAATCTCAAGTTATCAAATAACAATATATATTTTTAATGAATTGCATTTGTACTATATTTTTGTGTATCTATATATCAATCGATTAAATGAAGTATAATCATTACGAACGAAGTTGTAGCAGTTTATGATAAGTTTAAATGTCAGTGTTGATACAATTGTAATTAAATATATTGGCATAGTCTTAAAAGTAAAAATATTGTATAAGTGGTATGTAAAAAAAAAAAAATTAACTGAACAACTCACTTTTCTATTTCATTTCCATTCCAAACTTCCACGGTAGCCGCGTCATGTCCCTTGTACACATATTTGTATAGATACATTACGCTCTTCACTGTAGAGCATACCTCAACGTTGATGTGCGCATCATACTTGATCAGCAAGTAAAGGTGGGAACAGACTATTGTCACGTCACGTGAGCTCACGTGCTGTCACGTTGGCACATATCCGTGATATCACGCTTAGAAATAAACTATCGTCACATTATCATGTCACAATTTAGTACCAAGTCAGTAGTCACTGTGTTGTGTAGGTTGGTGTGAACTTACACAAGTTTTTTTTCCTTAAGAAAAATTATAATGGAAATATTAACTTCAAGTAGTTCAGAGTGGGAAGAGGAATTAGAAACTGCAGCTGTTTTTTGCAGTTTTGGACGAAGAAAATAAAAAATCCACCCGATCGTGCTGGGTACACGATATTAATAAAAAAAGGTTAAAATTGGGAGAATTCCATCGTCTAGTTCAAGAACTACGAAACGATCCAAGACGATTTCATATGTATTTCCGAATGACGAAAGAAGAATTTGATTATGTACACGACCTTATTAAAAAAAGACATACAAAAACAAAGCACACAATTTCGAAAACCTATTAGTACCGAAGAAAGGTTAGCTGTTTGTTTGAGGTAAGTAATAAAAATAAAATATTTCTCGACATATAAATTATTTTATTATTTTTTAAATTAATTTTAAATTATTGCAAATAAAGAATATTAATATTATTAATTACCACCAAGTATTAAGATTATGAATTATTAGTACAATTTTAGATTATTAATTAAGCTAATATTAAATCACTCGTATTGAGAATGAGGAATGGACATCATTTGAAGTAATGTTGGTCTGGTAGGAGTCTGGTCTTGTGCTGGAAAATGTTGCTCCACTGATCTTTGATAATTTTGTTCAGTAGTTAAAGGATAATTGTTGGGCGAGTCTATAGGCGATGGCATTGCATGTAAACTACTCGTACTAAGTGCTGAAGATTGATTTGAAACTGATTGCATTGTCTGCAAGCTACTCATACTAGGTGCCGGAGAATGAGTTGAAACATATAGTTGTTGTGTAGGATAACTGGGATAAATAACTGAAGAACTTGGTTCTCGATTACACTTTATTTCAGCAGATAATACTGAGTTACTTAATGCAAGTTTAATTTGAGCCTGTTCAAATTTTGGTAATTGTTTTGTCATTCTTGACATACTCAGGAAAAAACATGTCCATATCATCCAGATTTTCAAATGGGTTAGTTATTTTATGTCCTTGGCTGATACACTTTTCTTCATACTGACGTTTTCTACGAATAGAATTTTCTTTTAGAATTTCAACCAGCTGTTGTGCTGGATTGTTAGTTTTTTGTTTTTGTTTTTTTTTTACGTTTTATGTCTTCGTCATATGTTTCATCTGCAGCAGCATTGCTGAATGTTGCCTCATCTTGATTATCTTCAATATTTTGTTCATTTTGCGTTTCTCTGTGTTTCTGTGCTTGTTCGGACTGTATATTTTCTTCTTCAGACCCCTCTGACAAATCATCTGGCTCACTGATCAAATTTGCAGATGTCTGAGATTCGTTTAAGTTACTATGCGTCCTTTAATTAAATAAAAAAAACTTTAGGAATAAAATAAGATATAAAATAATAATTTAATAATTTAATTTTTACTTTCTGCTTTCTAAATATGGTATAATAAATGACATTTGTGGTTCGTATTTCCACACAGACTTCTTTTTGGAAGCCATGCCACTTTTTGTTTCTTCTCTACGTCTGTTCCGAGCATTGCAGAAACATCTCCTTAAATTTTCCCATTTTTGTTTAGCAATATTCCCTATAAAAAGGAAATTAACATTAAAATTTTTTTTTATTTTAGATTTTTAGCGTCAGGAAACTCCTTTAGAAGTATTGGTTTCAATTACAGAATGGGTTTCAGTACAGTTAGAGAAATAGTTAAAGAAGTTTGTGAGGCAATATGGGACAATTTAGGGCCACTTGTTATGCCAGAACCCACAGAGGAAATGTGGAAAAAAAGTTGCAGAAAGATATAAAACCATGTGGCATTTTCCAAACTGTATAGGGGCTATAGACGGTAAGCACATCAATATACAGTGCCCTATTAATGCCGGATCCACGTATTACAATTACAAGGGAAGCCACTCTATTGTTCTATTAGCGATAGTAGATGCAGACTACAAGTTCATTACAATTGATGTCGGATCGTACGGAAGGAACAGTGACGGAGGAATTTTTTTCTAACTCAATTATTGGTAAAAAGTTGCACAACAACACACTCAATATACCAAAACCTAATCCTTTATTAGAAAATGGAGATCCGTTACCATATGTCTTTGTCGGAGATGAAGCGTTTCCATTAAAACCGTATTTGCTGCGTCCATACAGCAGAAATAGTTTAGGAGACAATGAACCTAATAAAATATTTAATTATAGATTATCACGGGCACGACGTGTCGTTGAAAATGCTTTTGGAATTCTAGCTGCAAGATGGAGATGTTTCCGAGGTCACATTGAAGTACAACCAGAATTCGTTGATAAAATTGTTCTCGCATCTTGCTGTTTACATAATATGTTGTGCACAGACAATGAGTTTGAACCCGACTTAGAATTAAATCAAGTTCCAGAAAATGCTTTTTTTAAATATAGATGCTCTACGAAGAAATAGCACTCGAGAAGCAACTCAAATTCGAGACGCATTTAAAGATTATTTCAATTCTGATGCTGGTAGTGTAGTATGGCAAGTCGATAGTGTTAGAAAAGGAAGAATACATACTTAGTTTAATTCTTACGACTAATATTTTTATTATACATTTTATATATGCATATTAATAAACGACTTTGTTTATTTATTAATTTTAATATTTAAATAAAATGAAAAGTTTTGAATATATTGTATTGTAGTTTGTATTTGAAGATTTGTATATTAGAAAAAAAATACGTATAAAAATTTGTGTCTACTGATAAGTGAAAATTATTAATATTGTTAATATAAAACGTAAATATAAATATTAGTAGAACGATAACCACATAATAGTTGAATTACTAGGATGTACGAGATATCTATTTTAGTTATTTGGTTATCGCGTTTATGAGCGGACTGTGAATTTTTTCCTAAATAAAAATAATCTAATAGCATAATAAATGATATTGCTATTTTTTTTTTTACAAATAAAACAAATCATCTTAGTAAATTCAAAACATTGTTTTCTTTGTTTAGAATCTAAAATAATAGTTAAAATAATAATTTAATTACCTGTTATTTTAAGCTCCTTTCCGATTTCTTCCCATGCATTCTGTCTTATTTGTTGGTCCCTATAATCGGTGGAACCATGGTCATATAAAGCCTTATGTTCACGAACTTTTTCGATTAAAAGTTCATCCATTTTAACATTAATTAATTAAAGTAGATAAATAAATGAAATTTTAATTTCAATATTTTATATATATTTTTCCAAATGCGTGATGACACGTGAGTCGAAAATGTGTGTGATGTTAGAAAATAAAAAACGTGCTATCACGCGTGAGCTAGGAAATGTGACGTGATACGCGTGAGGTGACATAAGTGTGGCGCTGATACATTAAAATACTGTATAAATCCATATCCCACACTTTTTTTCTCGTGACGTGATAACACGTGACAGCACGTGAGCTCACGTGACGTGACAATAGTCTGTTCCCACCTTAAGGGTTGTATGGCACAACAAACTCATTTCCTACTCGGTGACCTCTGACGTTAGCCTCAAGTCCGTTATTTGGTCTGCGGTAAGTCGGGTAACCGCTGTCGGAAATGTACAAAGTCTCTTCGCTGTACTCTTTTGGGTAGTTTTTTTGAGCAACTGTTGTCCACCATACACGGACTGTTATGGTTAAGCTGTCCACACGGTCCATGAATCATGTGTGATGTCACACTGTTGAATAGGCGTCTGTCAGTTGCTGGGTCTGGTAAGCAAGCACATACCACATCGTCAACGTCGTCGGCAGTATGCAACTTACTGTCTTCTTGCAAGATAATGAGTATGTGGGCGTGCGGAAGACCTCGTTTCTGAAACTCAATAGTATAAACGTAAGCATCAACATTACCAAACACCTTAGTAACTGTTATATCACGCATTAGCTCCTTAAGTTTTGCATGGAACACCCTTGCCACCAAATCTGGCCTGTCGTTAGCTTTCAACCAATTTGGAATGTTGTCAACAATCTCTGGCCACTTAGGGTTACATGTGAACGTTATGAACAGGTCAGGTTTACCGTACTTACGCACAATGGCCATCGCGTCATGGTAACATTGTTTCATGTAACGGGGGCCGCCTACAAACGTTGATGGCAAAATCATCCTACGACCAACAGGATCGATTTCATCTACATGAAGTTGTTGGTTTATGTGGTCCACAAGCCCCTGATATGCTTCGGCAAACAGCGTCCTTTGATTGTCTCTAGTGTAGCGTAAATTATTCGCTTCCATCCGAACGTACTGATCACACACGTACTGCTGTAACAAAAAACCACCGGCATGCAATAAACTTAATGTTTGGCCGTCATTCCCATTTCCATTGTTTCCTGTATATCGAATGGCCAAGCGGTAACACACAAACTCCCTGATGGTGTTCCGAACGCGAACAGCATTACGACGGTTGCCTTCTTGTAGCAGGTTGTAGTGCCAACCGGATTCTCCATACAGGAAGAACAGTGGATACAGCATAGGATCCGCATGAGGTGAGCCTACTGATATGCTTTGCATCCGATGTTGTGGGTTGACTGGGTTCGTGTCATAGATGACCAGATCAAGGTTCTTTGGTGGTAGACCGTCGTCACCAACGAATACGACTGCTACTTCATTTGCATTACCAGCCGGTTGATTGTATCGCCGAGGGTCATTATTTGGGTCGGCGATGATGTGCATTGTCACTCTCCTCGGTTGCACCGTGTGATCGGCAGCAGCAGCGTATTGTTCCCTCTGCCATACCTGTCGCATGGTCCTGTTAACAAAATAATGATATTACAGTTATCTGCGTGTAAATAAAATTAAACAGTAAGTGTAGCAGTTTAGTCTTATTCGGAAGTCTACTATTATTGTAAGCAATGCGCATAAGATATGTGAAGCTCAGTGTAATAAAAAAATATAATATAATACTGTAATAAAAATAAATAAAAAATGTCATAGAGGTAATTAGGTTTAAGTCTCGTTTGAAACAATGCACACAGTTTAGTGTTGATGTCCATAATGTATGTAGGTGTAATAGGTGTATATATATAAGAAAAATAAGAATATGACAGTGTACTGGTATTATAAAATTCCAGATGGTAAATCATATCCTCAAAATGCGTTCCTTAATGAGTGGGTAGTGAATAAGATGTAAACTATGAACATTGGTATAAGAATAAAGGATATAACAACATAATAATTATAAGTATTGCAACACAATAGTCTGGAATATTAATGAAATTAAGTTAATGTAGTTAGTGAGTGGTATTGAATGTGAATGTGTAATCAATAAAATATTATAACAATATTATTCAAGTTGACAAAAAGAAATAACTAAAAGTACTATATAAAGTATGGTAACAATAACGGGTACAGCAAATCTACAGTGCACTTAAGTGTCAACAATAATTTATGATATGTAATAATACTAATAATTGTTGTTTGTTACGTACAACAAAAAGATATGTTATGTTTATATATACATAACATAATATAATAGGTGTTGGTAATAGAGTTAATCATTTTCAATATAATGGGTTTGTTTATAAGTGTAAAGTAATAATAATATGTATTTGCTAAATATATGCATAATATACATATACACATTTATGTATATTTAAATATATTACTCGAAAGCCGCTGCAAATGGATTGATTTGCCGTAACAGATTGTCTAAGTCTGTAATCAAGTTCTCCAATAGCGGGCTGTTGTGCCATTCGAATCCGGTTGGCTTCCCCAGATTCGATAAAGTACAGCTCACAGTAACTCGGTCGCATCATTTCATTTCTGACAATGTCGTTACTAATCCTGCGATACACTTGCCCATGAACAGTGAACATTTTTGGTCCCCGACCTGGCAAACGTCTTGGGTTGAGGTCAGTGGAAAACGCAGCAAACGCCAAAGTGTTGTTGTATCGTCTGATTTCTTTTCTAAAGTGCCTGGCTACCTGTGAATCATCTATTAACAAACGAATTAATAACTCTGGAGGTTGACCCAACACACGGTCACCCGTTATAGCCATTTGACCATTATTGCAACACGTTGAAAAATGAGACCTTCCAATCTTCTCACAGTGGAAATGACGGCCACCACAGTGATCGCAGACGGCATCCAATGGTCCTATGTTGTGCTGTTCGGGAAGTTGGTGTTGAATGCCAGCCGGACGGTCTCTTACGGGCACACGTGCTCTGGGAGCACCCAGGGGAATTGGTACAAACTGTAGTTTAAACATCAAAGTTGTAAAACAACAATGTCATCTGTTTTTATTTAATGTGAAATATACACTGACTTCATTGTCGACGTCTGGTGGTAAAACGTCGAATACATCTATGAATTCATAAACTGCTGCAGCATCAGCAGGCAGCAAATCTACAACCTCAACGTCATCTGGGAAGACCTCTAATTGGGGTTGCACCAATGGTTCTTCGTCTACCTCTACCATGACCTCATCAATTTGAACTTCAACAATTTCCCAGTCCATTTCTTGTTCGCCGTCTGGTGCCGCAATCTCTATAATCGGTTGATTATTTTGTACTACCTAAACATCATATGAGGTCAGGTTTAATGTATCTGTATGTACAAAATTATTGAAATTTAAATTAAGAACTTATTAGTTATATATATATGTGTGTGTGTGTGTGTGTGTGTATATTAGTAATAAATATATACATATAATATTTTGTATATATAATATATATATTATAATAACAATAAAATAAGAATGTAATGAATCATCATCAATGAAATAATTTAAAAATGAATAAGCTTAGTTGGTGGGTGCCACTTTTTTTTTGTAACAACATATGTCATGTTTAAATTGGAATTGAGTATGATAGCACAGTTATATAATAATATTAATGAGAGTAATTGAAGTATGCACACATATAATAGAGTTACAGGAATGAGTGTGACATTATTATATATTATTAATATAAAATAATAATACATACATACATACAATGAATGAAAGCATATAAGCAAAAAATGTCAATATTAAAACATTGTACATATTGGTATTACCATGAGTTCAGATATAACTAATGAATGACAAAGTCTGAGTAACATATATAGTTATTAAAATGAAATAATATAATTGTTGTGTATCTGATAATTAATTTAAAGTTAATGTGGTTGTATGTACGAAAATTATCTTTAAGGACAACAGCATACATATATAATAATATATTATGTATTTCAATTGAAATAATAAATAAAAATGATACATGATGATATGCAGTTCTTTGTTTACAACAATATTCTTAGTAAAATGTATTAAATCAATAAGTTGCCGAAATGGTAAGTATTGTTTATGCTGATGTGTATGTATAAACATAAGCAGCAGTCATCATAGAACAGTAGGGTATTTAAGGTGTTATGTGCTGTTTATCATTTACGTTTTGTTATAAATACATAATTTTTTATATATCACTTACTAAAGATGGCACTGCTCTGTTAAACAAACGACGACGATCACGGGTTTCTCTGTAGTCAAGACCAGGCACAAAATGCCTTGAACACAGTTTCGAGGAGTTTACGATCAGTTGCACATTCACCCCATTGTTCTCAACGAATAATCTCCACAAACGTCTAAATTCATCGTTCGCTGGAAACCTAATGTAAACAACATACTATTAACATACGGCTGGAACAATAATAAAGTGACGTTATATCATATATATATATATATATATCATGCGGGTATGACAATACAATTACCTGTGCAAAGAAACTCCTTCAAAACCATCGACGTTCCCACAAATGATACAAATTCTGACCATAGTGATGGGCCTATAAAGCGCACATAGCATACATTGTAAATATGTAACACGAAATGAATGAACATAAACATATCTAACGATGTTGTTGATTTGATTAGTAGTAATATAAAACAAGTTTAATATGATCATATTGGACTTGTAAAAATTTAAAATAATTAATTTAAATTAAATTAAACTAAAATATAAATAATAGATGTATACGATGCATTGTAAATTATATTACTATATACAGTAAACTTTGGTTTAACGTATGATTATCATCATTATATTCGTTGTTATCGGTATGTTATCAGCGTTGATAATACAGAAACCTGGGAATTCCGAATGTTATGAGTTATTTTTAGAAATTATATATTATAAATTAAATTTAAATTAAAATTAATTGAAATAAATGATGTGTAGGTATACCAAATTGTTTGAAAAATTAAGAACGGAATACAACAAATCAACACGAAGGAAAAATATTAGGCAACGCCTGACAATCGTGTCGGGAACGTCATAAAGAAGTTTTGAAACAAAAAAAAATTCAAAGCTTTTATGAAATTATACAAGAGTTTCCGAATTAAAGGCAGCCTAAAAATGCCGATTTTAACGCGTATACTCGTGACGGTCATATAAATAAATATTTACGCAAGATACTCAAGTACGTCATCGTCGTAAATGATGAAACTTGTACACAACGGTCTCTAAACCCTCAAATTAAAAAAAATATAGATATTATATAGAATCATCATAAATAATAAAACTTGTACTCACCGGTCTCAAACGTCGATCGAACAAATTAATAATAAAAAAAAAAATATATTTATATGTAATCAGAAAAAAAAAAGATTTATACAAATTATACCTATTATAGATGTATACAACACTATAATGTGTCGTACGGACTACGGTCAAACGTATTGCACAACGTTCGTCGTAGAAAAGCTGCTCGGAGTAGAAACACCGGACCCAGGAGCACGATGTTCTTCGACCTCTCTACCCCGAAAACACATAATACCAGTATTACCAAATATTGCGAATATGCAATAATATTATATATATTAATCATATTTCAATTTATTAAGTTGTTGTATACATAAAAACTTCTCATCGATGAATGGAAAGATGGAATGAATCTATGAACAGAATCGCGGTATTGGTATCATCACGTAGAATGAGTACCTAGGCACGCAACATGTTTTTTTTTTGTGTATATATTAATAATATAAATAAATCGTCATTCATTTCCAATTTGAACGTGCAACCGTGCAAGTGAGTATATTATATTATATTACATTATTTTTATAACAATAATAACAATAATTTTTCCATATCCTACATATTATTCTTATGTAAATTGAAAATTAAGTTTTATATATTTGTTATGTTAATATTTATATTTATTAGAAAAATGCAAAATATTAAAAATTGTACCATCAACGTGACTGTCTCTTTCGAGGGACAGTCATGTGGCGGCGGTGGTGGCCGTGGTGGCGGTGGTGGCCGTGGCGCCCGACATGGGGCTTTTAAAAAAAAAAGTAAGTATGAATAATAAGTTTAGCTATATTAACGAATAATGTATAATATAATATATTTATGCTTCAGAATGTTACAACTGCCAAAAATTTGGCCATTTAAGCCAAACATTGTAAGTATGTTTTATATACTTGTAGTATCTATATGTTTATGTATATATAAAATGTAATAGGAAACGTAAACAATATAACTAAATTATTTTGCGTAAATAATTCCAGGCAGGAGACCGAAAAAAAATACAGGATGAGCAACCACAGCCTGCTTGGCTGAAATGAGGATTGTTGTAAGTATTGTTAAAAATGATTTTTTGTTATAATTATTTTATTGTAAAAAATTCATCTTTTATAGGAACCAGAAAATGACGACTTGTCATCTGTTTATGACGAATTAGGTAAGATTCTATTTTTACTACTGTTCTTCTATTTTTTCAAAATCTAATTTTTTTTGTATGTTTTTTCAGAATAAATTATTTTTATTTTTTTAATTCTTTGTGTTTTACTTAAAAGGTTTTTTCCTTTGTCCTCATACGTATATGTTTAAGGTATGTCATATAGTATAGATCATATAAGTGTGTATTTATTTGACTAAATAATGTATGGTCTATATAGTATATTAATAGTAGGGAAACATAAATTGGAACTAATGAGTGTTCATTTTACACTAAAGTAAGTAAGTATATTACTATAATAACATTTCCATAAGAATTTGTTCATATACAAATTTTTTTTCAATTTAAATACAATACTATATTCTATTTGTTAAAAGCGTTGTAACAAATGTATTCTATAGAAGTCTTAGAAATAACATAAAATTATCCTAGTATGAAGTATTAAATAATTTTTAGTACCTAGTTAATAATTTATTATATTAAAAAAATATAAATAAACAAATATATAACCAATGATGAATTTAATACAAATCATAATTAGTACATAGCTTACTTATAATAAAAATTAGTACATAGCTTACTTGTAATAAAAAAATTAAAATAAAATGATAGGCATCACATGAACGTTAGTAATCGTACACCAAAGCTACCAAATAAAGGGTACAGGGGAAAAACAGTAGTATCCATTTCTGAAAATTTTTCAGGGGAGCAAAAATATAGTTATGGACTAGTATATTTCTTCACCAGTTTACCTAATCTTTTTCATTTAATAACTGTGGACTGACTGAAAGATTTTTTCACTGAATCGATTTCAACTGTCGATATTACTCTTTATTTTGCTATTGAATCAGACCATAAAATCAAAATCAAAAAAAAAATGCACTACCACTGTTTTTCTCCTGTACCTTTCAAATGTAAACAATTGAAAGGCTAAACATATAAAATAATGAATTGGCGGTCAAAACTGAGTGAAACAACTGTATTTTCATCAATAGATCAATAGAATGTTCTCAGGCTATAATATAAATTGCATATCACATATTAATGTACATTTGAATTGTGCAAACTGTTAGCAATAACTATAATTGGTTTTTATTTTTAATTAAGTATATATAATATAATAAGTTATAATGTTTCATGTACACACATAAATATATATATTTATTGAATATATTCATCAATCAAACAATATTTGAAAAATATTTTATGAGCATTAGTGTAAGATTGGATACCAAAACGAAAATAGCAATTAATAATGATCGAATTAAATGAAAAAAAAAAATGCAAAAAATTCCGTACGTGTAGTTTCATATGAGGCCGCCCGGAATACGCCGGAACGGGATTCGAACGTGCCTACCTAACGACGCGACGGGAGACCTATCCTAACACCTATCGACTACAGTTCGAGATGAAAACCAGTACCGAATCTCGAGCACTTAAACCGTTTTAGAGATGCGACGAATACTACATTATACGTCGTTTAACTCGTACAATTTTTACGATTCGCGTGTCACGAAACCGTAAATCGCATATTTATTGTAGTTTAGAATGTTTCCGACGTATTCGTTTACATTTTTTAATCATATACGTCTTAACGACGTACCGAGTTTATTATCACATACACAAATTACGATATCCCCCCAAAAGGAATGCGATTAAAGGCATTACAACGACTGAAGAGCAACGATTTTGTAATTTTTTTTGTATATAATAAACATAATTTGACGTACGTCAACAACGATACGCACGTTTCTTTTTTTATATAATATTATTATTATATACATATACACATATATGTGGGATTGGGCACCAAAATGTACACTTCAATAAACAACAGCATTAACGCATTACCTCTTTATTG